CTCGCTCTGGCCAAGGCGTGTCCAAACCCTCATCTAGCCATACGTCACTATCGGGTAAAGGAGCAATCATCGCCGGTAGGTCTGCCTTTTCAGATGACGTTGCGAAGCGTCTGCATTACTTAACCGAAATTACGATGGAAAGCTTTTCGATTTTTGCGCCAAGTATGTGACACATCCGTCGCTGTTTTCTCGGATTGAACCAGGTGATTTAGGATTCTCGGACAACATCCTCCTTTTGAGCGATCGCGCCACAACATTAGCCAAAGAATTGATTACGCGGATGAATCTCCATTGCGATTGCAGGCCTTTTGACTATCGTGTGAAGGAAACTCTAGCACACCAAGGATGAAGATAGTATTTAGGCGATCAGGCTTGTCGTGTCCATCGGAGTTTTTTTGCGACTGTCGAATATTCCACGGAATATCAGGATAGCTACGTATCCCACAAGATCCATGTTGCAGCGCGCTTGCAGAGAGCAAAACGTTTCCCACATCAGTTGAAGATTCTAGTGTTACTCTAATAAGTCTGGCCTCGCTAAAGTGTGCACAGTTAGGGTGACGAGTAATTCGTAATAAGTTTGTGGGGTTAGCTTTTACTTTCATCAGAAAGCACAGTGATCCCCAGTGGTTTAGGTCATTGGACAATTCATCTTACAATACGATAGCTGCCGCTTCGGGTACGTTCGACCACACAAGAGTCAAAGCACTATTGTTAGATCCCTTTTTCGTTGAGCTGTAAGGTTGTGGAATCGTTTGTCGTGACTTGCTACCAAGTGATGATTGCTTATTGTTTGTCTCTCTATACAAGTTAGCGGTGCTTGTAACAGAAGAGACTGAAAGGGTGGCCTTTTGGGGAAGTTTTCAGCAATCGCGGGACATGTGGCTGATGTTCTAGGGGACCTTTGTTCGACAATAGACCCTTGAGCTGCAGATGCTGAGGGTTGCTGTTCGGCCACTTTATCTTTTTTACATACAACTGTCATCAAGAGGAGTGGGATTTGATTACTCACACGTTTCAGTTGGTGCCTGATTATAGTTGCCACGGGCAGTTTGTCTTCCGAAGTTACCGTCAATTTTCGCTTGGTATCCTACCAAAGATGAAGAAGACAACGGCGATCGGGCCCTGACTGATCGCGGTTCAGGAGCAACAAGTTTGGTACCATTCCTTTTGTTAAATGTCCTTAGGCTTAACTGGTTCAGCAGGCAAAGTCGTCATCATAGTCAAGTCAAGAAGTCGCGCAACAGGAGGCAGCTCCACAGCTTGCAAGTCGTGTCCGGCGAACGGTGCTTCGTCAATGGCGAAGTTAAAGAGGGAAGGTGACAGCGGGCAACCTTGTCTCACACCGCTAGTGATAATGAAGGGCCGCGACAGCTTGCCGTAAACCCTTACTTTGTCCCAGCTATGCGCATGCATGGCTTTGATAAGGCTTATATATTTTTTAGACACATCTTTCCTGAGTAGACAGTCCCAAAGGGCAGATGGATCCACCGAATCGAAAGCCCCTTTGACATCGAGAAACACGACGATGATGGGTGGCCAATAAATATGGCGATGCTCCAACAACTGGCGTAAAATAAAGATGTGATCGACACAGCCACGATTTCGTTGAAATTCGGCTTGCTCCTAGCGAACCTGACTTTCACGAGTGCCAGTCAGTCTGTGGAGAAAGACAGACGTAAGCAATTTAAAGGTAATTGAGATCAGACTAATCCCGTTATGATTACGACATTCCAAACGGGAGTCTCCTTTGAAAAATGGGACTATAACGGAGCGGCTCCAGTCTGTTGGGACAGTTTCCTGCTCCCCACAGTTTCACTAGCAACGCGTGTTAACCGTCTACAAGAGCAGGTCCGCCGAATTTGAAAAGGGCTGGAAGAATTCTATCTGCCCCTGCGGCCTTATTGAATTTCAACAATCTGACCTCACGATCGATTTTTGTGAGTGAGGGCGGATCTATGGGGACGATAATAGAGTACGGCGTTCAACGACCGGTGGAGAAGCCGACGGTTCTGAATGATTGAACTGCTTCTTAAAGGGTTCGGCATAACGCTCCAAGCGTTTTGAAAAGCTGTGAATCGGCTGTCCACTCTCGTTACGTATGGTTTCGCTAATACCACGTCTGCTGCTGCCCGTATCTCGTAGCAGACGGAATAACTTACGATGGTTGCGAACGGCAATGGATGCTCCCATTTTCGATGCCCGATGAAACCACTAGGCTTCGTGGTTTTCTTCAGACTAGGTACAGTTTTGCCCAAAGATTTTTGCGAGTCTCAATGCGTTCGCTTCCAGCCGGAACACGTCGGCGAGCATCCATAAGTTCCAGAGACTGTGTAGGGACCCAATGTCTGGGTTGGCAATTTGATATGCCCCATGAAGACATGCCTGGTGAAAGTAATGTCTGATGGATATGTGACCAGTGATCTTCAACGGTGTTCAGTGAGCGCTTACTCAACCCGGATACCAGCGTACTTTGATACGCATACTGAACACCTGGTGTCGCCAGCTGGCTGGTGTCAATGCGCTCAGGACGTTGCGAACGTCCGCCGAAACGCACGCGGAGGTCAGCACACAGAAGAGCGTGATCGGGGGCTAGGCTTGCGCTCCAAATAGAGCGACCGTTTTGAACACAGTCTCTGCAGCAGTAACTGATCGCGATGTGATCGATTTGCCTCCATGGCTGGTGGGCGCCAAGTCACTCTTCTGCGACGGCCGTGTTAAAAATTCGTGCTAGCGAACAAGAGATGAGCATTTACACACAGGTGCAGCAACCGCTCACCGTTATCATTACGAGAGCGTACACCACGTTGCCCCCCCCCTCCAGATGGAGTTCATCAGAGGAGAGTTTTCCGTCTTGGGCGCTCAGATCACCAGCAAGCACCATAGTATCCGTACTATTCCTGGGAAGAAGATCGTTAAGTTTGTTATGGAATTTATCAATCGCCGAATCGGTGTTACCAGTTGTGGGAGCGTAGGCCGCAATGACAAACAGCCACCGTTTTCCCCGCGCGATCTCAAGGCCTCGAACCAGCCAACAAATCTAACGGCGCATATCCGGCTGTTGACTGGGATCCAATCGTTCAGTGCAGCTTCAGCCCGGGGACTCAAAATAATGTCGACGCCAGCTTAACCGGTACTTGAAGTTGCGTAATCTCCAGAAAGGTGAAAGAGAATGTAGCGAAAGTGTCGCAGATGAGGGATTGCAGGGGAAGCACGGAGCTCGAATCTCGCAGGCGGCTTCCCGATAGGGTCTCCAGTTCGGGCAACTGCTGCTTGCTGGCTAATTTGTAGCAAAGTGCGCACGTTGAGGCATGCCAATGTTAGCGAGCATCGAGGACTCCAAATGGAAACGGATTTACTGACGTTACACACATGATGAATTTGTCGACTGGACTGGAGCGACGCCCTGCGATTGTGTGAGCTGAAGCTAGAAGACAAGCGACTGTTGAGGTAAGATGGGGGACGGCGAAGAATTAAGGATTGGAAACCGGCGAAAAAGTGAAGTTGGAACGGGACGAGAGATGAAAAATCGCAAGACAGGAAGGCTTGAGTAGTAGCATCCAAAACACCCTGCTCGATGCAGCAGATAGGACACCGTTTAGTATCCTCTGCGACGGCCAGAGCATCATGAGATTGTTAGAAAGAAAAGTCATGTATGAGGTGGGCAGGATCCTGTCAGGTTGCCCACGTCTAGACAGGAGAACGACTAGTGTTACCAACCAAAGCTTTCGGTTCAAAAACCTTAACGCAAGACAGCGGGGTTTTGGCACTGGACTACAGAGTCCCTTTTATGAAATATTTAGCCACCCTCATTCCAACCCCCAACCTGAAGGACCAGGAGGCTGAGTTTGTCTGGCCTCTAACCATTGACCAATCTGGTATGAGTGGCTGTGAAGGTACAAGAAGCACTATGCAGCATACTTCCATGGATCACTGAGGCACACAAACCATCGCACCACGTTAAGGTGCGACCTCGTTGCGATGGATTATTATTATTATTATTATTATTACTATGAATCGTGGGCGGAGAAGGCAAAGCGCTACACAAAACGTCTCCAGCACAAGGAATTCAACGATTCACAATATTTGAAGGTCCAGAATGCAAGTCAATATTGTATTGTTGCAATATTTCGACCTTGACACAGGAGCTTCTGTAGGCTAAGTGAGCCGTAGATAGTTGGCTTAGCTTTTACATCAGATCACGTTGATAATCTTAAAAGGGACTAAAAACAAAGGATTATGCGATTTACGCCGACACGCAAGCGAAGGTAAATGTATGTTATCTGTAGTTAATAGACAGGGCAATGCGATGAAGTTCGTTGTCAAACAACCTAATGGAGTCTATACACTAATTCAGTGGCCAAACGAGATCGGAGCGACACTACGCAGACACCGGTTGGAGAAAAGGAGAAATCGACTAATGTCCGCTAAGACCATTGACCACATATATCTGGTTCATACAGTAGAACCGGTTGCGGCGAACCGTCATGCACCTCGCTCCTGGAAAATGACGTGATATCACATTGCATACCGTGATGGGCAAAGATTCTAAAAATTACATAGGCTCCACAAGTATGCGCAATGACACCTTCGAGAACTTGATCCCCGGAATTGATACAGTAAAACAGGTTCTTGGATGTTCGAGAAATATACCCATTGTTATCACCATACGATGGTGGAGGGAGAAATTGTCCACATTTAATGAATCAAATGGGATGGGAAGCACGGTTATAGCTGGATAGAGTATGCAAGATGTTAACCAGACAAAATAGCGCAATTGTCAAATTGCATCCGAAGCGATCCTGCGTAAAAACGGCGTAACTGAGGAGAAAACAGTTTCTCCTCCAACAACTAGTGGTCTCGAACAGATAGAACTTCTGTACTAAGAAAATGGGCTTACGTAACGGTGACAATTCAAAGGTGGGACAGAAAGAAACCAAAAGTTAGCCAATAGGAAGAGAGCGGGCAATGAAGCCAGAAACAGGTAAAGAACTCGGTCTTACTGTGTGAGTTCTCCCAATACTGGTTAGAGTCGCAGTTCTTCGTCTGCAATTTGTAGGAAAGTGCGCCCTGGTGGGCCAACACGGCATTCGCTTTGGCCAATTGTGTGCGTAACCCGGCCAGCTCAGAAGCTGTGCGGCGTCGTTCGTTTTCCGCACTGTTCTGGTGATGGCGCAATGCATCCACGGTCGCGTCCAATTCGGAATTCATTTGTGCAAAGCGCTGCTGCAACTGATCCAATTTGGCTTTTTGTGTGAGGCGATATTTGTTCAAGCGCTCGATCTGTACCAATGAGTTGCGCAAAGCCTCGGACAATGCAGTCACTTGGTCTAGACCATGTTCATCAGAGGAGTCGAAGGTGGCCAACACATCACTTGGTCTTGAAAATACATAGGGCATAAGCTAAGGAGGCATAAAGCAAAAACTGATTATAAGTGAGTCCCTCGGCTAAATTTCCTGAAAAGCCAAACTGATGAACTATGCAAACAAAATGGAATGCTGTAGAAAATATGAGCATCAAATACGGCCGAGCCAAATTTCGAATTGTGCAAATGGTGGTGCAGCCCCCACGTCCAGCTGTCATAAGAATGGCTTCAAAAGCCTTTTACAGCGCATCTAAGGTATAAAAATAGGACTGGAAGTATGAGAAGTGAAATGGTCAAAACTCAGGAGGAGCGGATCGATCATGATTTGTCTGCATCATGTGAACATGCACTAATCAATCGGGGATCAGATTGGGACGATGTGGTCTACATGAAACGTGCTGCCCGACAGTATCGCCCACAAGATCACACAAAGATGGCGGTCGAATGGGACAACCGATGAGCGGTAGTGTGAATGCTATAGAAACTAAGAATGCACTATTCTTCGCGACATCCGCTGACACTGCAAGGATCCAGGTAGACAGTTACAATATCACGCCGATCCATCAGCCACTCTCAGTGGGAGGGGTTACAGCAAAAACAAGCAGATGTCGCAAGAGTTTCTCGAAAGAATATCGAAGTAGTAGACCAAAGATAGGGCAAAAAAAGGAGGCCAGTCGCTGCACCGATGGCAGAGTTGAAATAGTTTCAAATGCTGAACCATCATAACACTTGCGATGTGATGCCATGTAAAGCCAGCTGCCTAGACGCAAACAGCAATAATGATTGGGAAGTTGCACTAGTAAGGGAATCTTAACTGGATTTAATGAGAGGCGGGAAGTAGGAGAACCCTGCAGTTGTACACAGAATTAGCAGATAACGAGCAGCAGACACGGCTAACGTCCACAGTCACTAGGGTTATTAACACTACTCGGTGTGGCGGAGAGTTCAGAATGCGCAGACAGACAAAACATGTGAAGAAACATTATCAGACTAACGTCGCCAGTGTCTCAATGGAGCAAATGAGAGTGAAACGCGGTGAGTCCAAAGTGGCATCGACAATGCGCACGGAGAGAGGCGATTGGATCGTACCGAACCAGAGACCAAACACCCAATGGGCTTTAGTCCACCAAGCAGTGAAGAGTAAGAGGCGAAATCAATGGTAAACCTTATTAACGAATAAGCATCCAATCGGTTGGTTACCACAAGTTATAGGTTTGTTTTGTAGCGAATATAGTTTGATTGAAGCCCAGCTCCTGTTGCCTTCTTTGAAGAGCTGCGCGACATACACCATGTGAAAAAAAGTTCAAGGATACTATGCAACAGTCGGTGTACTATGTGTTGACAAGGTATGTGAATGGGTATCCTGAGACGAAAAAATTAAACAGTCCTTTTGACTGGACATAAACGAGTGACATGACAGCGCACGACCCTGAAGCGGTTAAACACTAACTGAAAGCTGACAAGATTTAGTGGAGTGATAGTGTTACTATGCATAGTTTGTGGTGACAAACACAAATAGGGGCAGTGAGGATTTGCGGAAAATGTTTGCTGGCGTCATAGGGGATAAAAAGTGTTAATGATGCTTAGTATTTGAGTGGAAAATGCCAGCTTTGCCTTGAACGAGGCGAGCACGAAGGGAAAGCGGGACCCAGAAACTTCGCTAATCCAAGCGGGGTTGTATGTAACTCGAGGAGCCAGTGTCTATGGGAATTCGCTATAAGGTACTAAGACACAAATCGGAGCAAGATATTAGCAGAGCGACTAACATCCGTCAGAATCAGTAACAGGAACTAATGCGGAGAATGTTTTAAATAGTGACTGCAGACAATGCTATAAGAAACAGTCACTGTGGGAGCGATGGCATGCCGAACTCTACTGTAACGACGAGAGCAACCATCAGCGTAATTTAATGAAAGAAGGTTTCGTGTTACCGTGCAATCATCAGCGAATGCTCATCGCAGACCCAACTGTGTTAGTGCGACATAACAGGGCGTAAATGATTCGGAATACAGTAAATTCTCTGGTGACACAAAGAAAAAGGGTCGGTTAAAATGTTTCACCTTCCCACTTTGCCAACAAGTAGCCCTGTCATCGTTGATAGGAGGTCTTGATGCTTCTCCACAGGTTTCCGCCTGCACTGCAGCGGATGTGACAGAGAATTGTTGAGTTTGGGTGGATGTTTCTACTCTCGATCCGGAAAAGCCAGATGTTTTGATTCCATATTGTAGCAATTGACCAGGTAGCTGAGGTGCTGTGATCAAAGCGCTGGATAATCGTTGCTCTGCGACTATCCGAAGTCGTTCGGATTCCTGCAGCTCTGTATATGCTGAATTCAAGTTTGCTGCCAGCTCTAGGAGAGCAGGGGAGGAAGGAAACTGACCTGCGTTTGCATCCGAATGAAAGTTCTGGACATACATATGAAGTTGACGCAATAATTGGGTTAGGTGGCTATGACTTATAGTTAGCCGGTCATGAAGAGCCGACACAAGCCGAGTGGAGGATATCAACTGGGATTCTGCGTCATCCAATTCTTGAGTTTGGTTGGTTACTTGCCACTCTCGATCTGTGAGCAATGACTCCAACCTATTCGAGTGTTCGATTTGGAGGTTGAGTTTCTGGTGAGTTGCTTGTAGCTCAGCATGCATCTGCCGAACTGAATGAACCTAGGATGAGAAGGAAAGACAAATGTTAAAACGGAAACAAGAAAGAAATCAAGACGAGAACAGCATAAGAAAAATTCCAACTGCCCTTCAAATGTGTGCATTAGCGAGGGCACTTGGCGATAGGCCACTGAGAGGGTCCCGCAATCAGCCACATCTGTACTCAGATACCCCACGGGATTCAACACAAGTAGCAGCGTTCTTGCGCCGCTACCCTTATCTATAGCCCGTAACTACCCGACTTAACGATTATTAGCTCCTATTTACTCGTTGATTATTATTATTACTATTATTATTATTGCGTGGGTTCATCGCAGTTAGACACCGACAGACAGCCACCACACATCCAGGAAAGCGCTAGACGGCCGTTTCGTCCTATTGGGACTCGTCAGTAGCGCGCATCGTTTCGTAGGAGTCATGCGGGGCAGTGCTATCTCGGTATCAGTGACCACAGTATCTAGCCATGTTTAAGTCATAATGGTGATATAGAGTTGAAATCAAATTCATCAACAGTGCTCCTGCATACTGTACCGACGCCTTGCTGCCCCGCGACCAGCAACAGTCGCGTGTGGGCTGAGTAGATCGTGAGGACGCCCGCTCTTAGGCGGATTCGAACCGGTGACCTAAGGATTGCAAGCCAGGCGTGCAATCCTTTCGGCCACCAGTCGACTCATAACGATATTATTATTATATATTATTATTATATATACATATTATATACTATATTATTACGTCATTATGCTCGCAAAAGAAGTTGCTCCATACCTTACAGCTTCCCTGGCCAGCTAGAACGAACGATGCTGAGGTCGATTGTCACAGATCAAGCTCGGTACCATGCAATCGACCTGTCAGGTCAAAGGTCGACTTTTAGCCTCCCTCACTGAACCGTTAATTAACCATGGAATTCGAGCCAATGAGTCGATTTCAGTTCATTATTTTACCCTTAAGTATGATTGTAATGGTCTGAAGAGAATCATGGAAAATAATTGTTCACCTATGGTCTCGTGTTCTTTTGACTCGATGTGAATTTGCAAGTTGCTCATAACGATATCCCAAGGAGTAAAGGCCTGACGAGTACGAAGCTCGGTTAACTTACGGAGAAGACTCTGAGAGTTGATATACAATCAGGTGAGGGATTCAGAGGTCAGCAGTGTATTTGTAGATGCGGCTTCTGAGCGGGTGGTTATGCCGACACTTGTTGGGTCGGCTGTCGGTCGTTTTTTGTTGTTGAACCGAAATCGCTGGCCCCGGAGCAATCTCGGGTTGGCAAGTAGAGCACTCGGCATCCGTAGGTAGCTGCAAACCTAGACATCCTCCAGTTGACGGAGTGTTTTGACTGCATCTCAGTTCTGGGCGGCATGCCGACTGGTTGGGTATTCAGTATTGTCTTATCGAGTTATAACCAAGTGTCCATGGACTGTATAGGTATTCTGGATGGCACCTTCTTTTGAAGTTTGAACCACGTTTCCATCACCTTTTCCGCCATGGGTTTGTTTTGCAGTGTTACTTTTATCATTTGTGGACCGCTCCCTTTGTAGTTAGGCGATTATGGTAACATTGAGATCGAATGGGCGATCAGCTTTGCGAGTACGAGTACTTCACGGATGAAACGTCATTCATCACAGTCATGCGCTTTGGCCTCTAGCTTGCTTGGAGTCTGAAGCTTGGGGACACCGTGGACAAGGAGCGATTTTACGTCTTACTGTTTACGTTTCTGGTGCTCATTCCACGGAACATCTGTAAAAATTCGAGCAGTGCACTGAGTTGTTTGGAAGCTAGTGGCAAGAGAACTGTCTCTAAATCATCTGCTGACTGAGGCGTTACTAGGATTGGTCGTGGTTTACCGTGTTGGGCCGAGCTTGGATGACGGACATGGCGTTTCATACGACACGGCTTTGCTTGGACTCCAGTAAAGTGACACATGGCGTCCCATGGTTTCTGGTCGTCTAGCAGCTTGCTTTTGATGAATTTCGCCTCGGATTCAGGCACTTTTGAGTATATAACAGCAAGAGAATTGTGATACTGTTTAGTGTTCGCTTTTTTGGAGGAGTGTGCGGCTGCTTTCTTTTGTCTGACAACAGGTAACACACCAGGTTCCTTGATTGTGTTGGCGGTCATAACTGCTCCTAGTGTGACGGCGATCGAGGCTATAGTGGATGGTATCTCTGTCATGTGAGTGACAACAACGCACGCGTATATTGTAGCTCTCTCAGCAGCGTTGAATGTACCGCGATGCTTTGATGAAGTATTCCGTCCGACAGCATTATCAGAAGCGGGCCCTCGTACCGTGGCAGAAGTCTGCTTAGTTGGGATACATAATTCTTGATCAATGTCCTCACACCCAGCTTGGCTGCTGTGTTCCGTATTGGACTTTGATGTTGTACATCCAGCTCGAGGATCTGGTTCTTCTGAGTCCAGTGGGGCAAATCTTTCGGCAGTTGCTCGCTTTGCGATATATGCCAGTCTGCTGCACATGTACGCCGGCAGTACTATGCATCTGACAAGTGGAACGATCGTATACTCTATGCAGAATCAAACGAAATGGGTCGTGTTATTTCGTTTCGTTACCTCGCTTAGGCTAAGGAGACAGCAGTTAGGATGGAATGTTTTCAAAGAGCTAGTGCATTCACTTCCAGTCCGTAAATTCGTAAAACAGCTTCCATAATTAACGCTCAATTGAAATGCCTTTGGCCTAGCTCACCGTGGTCATTGCCAATTCAGTTCGATCGCTGCGAGGTCCGTCCGAGCAGTCGCTGCGCTAATGGCGCTCACACACGCTTGATGAATGTTCTATGGGCTTACCGTGCACGAGACACACTGCAGGCCAAAACACAAGCACGAGGTGAAATCAGATGTGGACACGCATAAGACCGAACACACGCGAGTTACATGATGCTTATAAACAAACACAAATTAAAGATGATAGGGCCTCGGATTTAAGGCCCATCTGCGCATGAGGTTAAGGGACAATCTCGAGAGAAAGACTATTCGAGAAAGAAACAGACTGCCACTTCACACAGCCATCGCTAACCACCGCACATCAGTACCTTGCACTGACATTGCGCTAGTGGATAGCTACGAAATAGTGCGCACAAGCACTGTCGATGAAACACGAGGTCTCAAAGTCACCATGCAACTGAGCTGTATACCCACACATGCATTACTATTTCCAAACAAACCAAAAAAGTGTCGCGTTTATATGCGCCTTGGATGGGGATCTGGCGTTTAGTACGCTTCAAGCTATCACAAGGCCATTGCCACCGCAACTACCACCCCAAGTATCTTCGCCACTACCACCGCAAATATCACCTCAATTATCTTTGTCACTACCACCGCAACTATCACCTCAATTATCTTTGCCCTTACCACGGCAACAATCACCCCAATTATTCTCGCACTGAGCATGAGCAATGTACTTATCATCCCACACACTCACATTTCACGCATCCGGCCTTCATCCGGTCTGTGTTTGACCAATCGCATGGACTTCACTTGTCCTATATAACCAGTGTTCTGTATTCTGTATCGCGTTGACGATCTGAACCCTTTCTTGTTGTTCTCGGACCGAATTGTATCTCTTTTGAAACTGCGTTGAGTGGAAGCGCTACTATTGAGTACCGTCATCTTGTCCAGTGTTCTTGTTCTTTGACTGGCTGGATACGCGTTGGCTCAAGGCCCTTCAAAGCGAATTGTCGCTTACAGTTCTCAATACTGCTTCCTCGTTTGGAATGAAGTTTGAAGTTTCGAGTGCCGTACTCAACAACATTTCGTTTGCTTTCAACGGGATTCCGGAATTCGACGGTTCTTTACGCCTTGAAGTGAATCGGAACTCACTCAATCACATCGGACAATGTCTGCAAGGAATTTTACCTCTGAAAATTCCATGGATGATGCCGCATACCGGCAAGTCATTGATGAATATCATGATGGTGCTTCATGCTCTGGTTCACATGTAAGCCATAAGATTGAGCATAGCATTATTTCCCGTCGTTCGTCCGCTGTAAGGACTGTAGCAGAGTTAAGAAAAATGCAGTCAGATTTGGATAAGCAGAAACGTTTAGTAGACCTTGAATTAGAAATGGCCAAGCTTCGAGTAGAATTGGAAGAAAGCAATGTCCACTCTGATCTTAAAGTGCTATCGGCACCTAGTTCTGGTGAGAGGAATCGGCGTATAGGCGCTCTTGTTGATCAGTGTCAGTTGTCTGCAGCCGATGCGTACGATCACAGAGCCAATCGGGGTAGTTTAGCGTCACAGCAGTGCCTACAGCTAGATCTGCCAAAAGTTGAACTAGAATACTTCGATGGTAATCCTGCTAAGTATTGGAAATTTGTAAAGCAGTTCGAATACTACGTCGAAAGCCGCGTGTTTGACAGTGGCCAGCGACTGCTTTATTTGATACATTATTGTCGTGGCTATGCCAAGGAGGCCATCAGCGAATGTGTGATGTTGCCTCCCTCTGTGGCCTACGATAGAGCGAGAAAGGTTCTCCGTGAACTCTTTGGAGAAAGCCATGTCGTAGCCAGATCGTTAATTGATGGTCTCATGACTGGTTTGAGGCCACTCTCTGCCAACCCAGATGAATTGAGTAAATTGTCCATGAAAATGGAAAATTGCTACATCGCTCTGTCGCAGATGAACTTTACTGCGGACTTGAATTCCATTGCAACGACTGAACGAGTAGTGCGTGTTTTACCCAGCAGCCTTCAGGCCCGGTGGGCAAGGGTAGCAGATTCGATCACGCATGATGGGCGGGAGGTCGATTTCAAGGACTTGGCTGATTTCGTTGCCGCGGAATCTCGTGTTGCGCGAAGTAGATTCGGTCAAATCGCTTCGTCAAATGCGTCGCGGCAGCATTTAGATGCCAGACCACCGCTAGTAGAGCACAGACGAAACGATCGTAGCCACGTCCTCTACACCTGGTCAGGTGCCTCTCCTAAAACAGCGTGTTTGAATTGTGGTAGTGATCATGCCACGGCCTCGTGCCGTAGTTTTCTCTCTTTGG